CCAAACTCTGTGGTGACATTTTAAAGCTCAACAGCTTTGAAATGTCAGAGTACTAAAAGGGCTATGTTCCACATGGATATTGCCCCTGTTTGTAACTTTGGTGTGCATTGACACATTTGGAATTCTTTGTTACGGCTTTGAGTTTATTAATAATAATAAGCCAATTGCTTGGGCTTATCCCATCTTGTGATCTTAGTGTTGTTGGTTATCTTCCTTTAATTCGTAAAGAATCCAATAGTCACATACTTTATCTGGGCATTTCCATTTCGAAAGAATTCACCTATTTGTTAGGAAATTATGTTTGAATCTGATTAAATTGACAAAGCCCTTTATCTTTATCCTTTAACCAATATCGTTGTTGTTGGTGACTTTAATCCTTATTACACTAAATGAATTGGCTCTAATGTTACTCTGCTAATGTTAAGGCCTCTAACTTTTGTCTTTTTAATCTTTAATACAAATAGTCAACTTGCTTTCCTGACAATGCGAATCATTTACCTTCTCTACTCCACTATGTCTCATTTCTGATCTTTGTCAGTGCTAAATTTCTCTACATTCAAACTTAGGTGCTTCTGATCATGGTTTAATCTCTCTAAAGCTATTATCTCATTCTTCTTCGTCATCTGAATCCTCCTAATATTGTACCTCTTACAACTATCTTGAAGCTGACTGGAACTCTTGCCGTGATTTTCTTAGTGATGGCCCTTGGGTAAAAATCTTTGAGTCTCTAATTTATAAACACTTAATCTTTTATATTGAATTTAATAACTTACTTTCTGATTATCAATGTGGATTTCGATCTTCTTGATCTAGTGCTTATTTATTAAAGGTAATAACTGATAGGCTTTATTGTGCATTAGATTTAGGTTTTATTGTGCATTAGATTAGGAGAGGCTAAGGCTATCACTTACGAATTTCCTACAGCTTTATATAAAGTTTGGAATGCTGGTCTTCTCCATAACCATTTTTCTTACTGTGAATCAGGTAAAATCTTTAAGTGAATTAAATCCTTCCGTACAATTGTAGCATAAAAGCTATCCTTGACGGACAGTACTCGTTTTTGTATCCTGTAATTTCAGGGTTTCCTTAAGGTTCTATTCTTGGCCCAATATCCTTTTTTATTTACATTAACGATTTTCCAGAAATTCTCACATCTATAGTGGCATTGCTTGCTATGATACTACCATTTATTCTTGATTTGATAAGAAGCCAATACTTTCTAATTGCTTAGAGGGGGTATTTGAGCTTAAAAAGGATCTCATTTCTGCTACAGCATTTTTAACTCAGATAAAACTCAGATAAAACTCAATTTTTTTAGCTAATTATTATCCCAATAATCTAGATCTTCCTTTATTTATGAACGGTAATGTACTTAATAAGACACCTACCCTTCACCTTCTAGGATTAATTCTTTCTTCCTATCTTACTTGGAAACAATATATCAAATTGATTGTAAAATTAGCATCTGCTAGGGTTGCATCTTTTTATTGTGCTCACCACTTTTTTACTTAAGATTCTTTTCTTTATCTATATAAATCTCAAATCTATTAGTGTACAGAATAGTGCTGCCATATCTTGGGCAGATCTTTCAATGACGCCCTTTCTTTCATAGGCAAGGTAAAAAAATGCATTGTAAACATAGTTGGATGCTTATCTTTCTATTTTCTATAATCACAATAATGGGCACTGCTCTAAAGAGCTAGCATCGTTTTTGCCATCTACTTAAGTTCATTTTCATGTTACTCATTATTCAATTAAGTTTTATCTTTTTAATGTGCTCCAAAAATTCTTATTAGTCTAATTTTTTTCTCATACATCAGTTCTTTTGAATTCTTTCCCTTTATCTTTATTGCTTGATTCATATAGTTACATGATGGCCACAAAATTTTAAAAGTTAAATTCCACGACATTTCCAGGACATTTCAGGATATTTTGTTGCGTTTTCCAGTACATTTTATATCTTATTAAATGAATATTATCAATTATCTTTACGTTATACTTTTTTCATATTGATGGAATTATAAAATAGAATATTATATTATTATATTATTATTACTCTCTTATTTAAAATTAAATTGAAACCATTTATATAAAAAAATTTTATTGCATAAAAAATTTAATATTAATTTAATATTATTAGTAAGTTTTTAACTTGAATCAGAAAAAAAAAAAAAAGTTCCAGGACATTTCAGGACATTTTTGAAAAAAATGTAACTTTCCAGAACATTTCAGAACATTCCAGGACACTTGCAAAAATCCAGAACATTCCAGGACATTCCAGGACTGTGGCCACCATGAGTTAATAATATTTTAAATCATCTGTCAATGGGTATCTGAGATACCCATTGACAGTTAGTTTTCCAATCTAAATTTTAGATTGGAAAACTTTTTTTAAGTGATTTGTTTTGAAGGTTTTTTATGATCTTTGTATACTTTGAATGATTTTTCCCCTATATCTGACAACAATAAAACATATGCGAGTTAAATATAGCATACCATATATTTATGAGTGTCTTGTAGCTAACAAAATGCCTGATCTTTGCTAACATTCCATTTGCACGGATGAGTTTAAGCGCAGTCTGCTTCAGTTGGTGTGTGAAGGTAAAGTTTTCAATGAAAACTTTTCATCTAAAATTATTTTTATATACTTTATTTGACTAATGAGATTTAACTTTAGGGAACTGATTCTGAAATTTAATTTTTTATGAAGTTGTGTATATATACAGGCACGCACAGGTGGGGATCCGGGTTGGTTTCTCAAGGGCTTCACATTTATGGGGCATCATTAGTAGGGGGTCCATAATCATTTTTTTTTTAGATTTTTTATAGTTTTAACCAATTTTTCTTAATTAGTTTTTCATGCTGATTCCGAAAATTATAATCGTTTTTTTTATTTTAATTAACTAGCTTTGGAGTTGTCCATTAATTACGTCAACAAAATAGAGGGGGAGGGGTCTAAACTTTTTTGAAAGTTGTTGACAAGGAGGAGGGGGGGAGGTCAATCAAAGTTGATGTCAACAATTTTTTCTTTTGAGTTTCATCGCTTAAATAACGGAAAATTTATAGCGTAGCTTCTTTGTATAGGGAGGGGGGGGTAATCAAAAGTTGACGTAATATTATAGGGGGGTCTCTGGAAATTTGACAAATTGTTGACAAGGGGGAGAAAGGGAGGTAAAAATTTCAAAAAATTTGTTGACGTTATCAATGGACAGCCCCTTTCTACTTCGATTTTAATAAAAGTGACTATTTTGACCAAAAACGGATTGTTAAAAATCGATGAAATTATTATTAACATTAAATGTATGAAAAGTAAAAAAGTAGAAATCTTTTTCTGTTTAATTTATCAATAATATACATTATAATTATAGGTATTTATAAGTAACAAATAAAATTAAGTATTATATATGAAAATAATTCATCCAGTTTCCTATTTTTACTATTGAAAATGAAAAATAACTATAAAAGTCATCATATGGGATAGAAGATTGCTGCGGCAACTATCCATGCAAAACATTTAGGTTATGAGCGTATTCTTCGGTAGACATAAGATGGAGGTTTGTATTTTTTTATCAACAACTATGTATTTAAACAGAGTAGACCTCCGTGACAATGACCTACTTGTATCCCTAAAATAAAGAACCTCATTCTTCGATCTTTTTTATCATTGTAACATATTTTTATCTACTTCAATAAAGTCAAGTTTACAGTTAAAATGGGCAACTTTATACGCAAAGAAACTTTTGTAAAGACTTTTATATTTTTTATATCTTCTAAAATAGAAGTAGAAGGTCAACTATAAAAAAATTAGCAAAAAATGAATTGTTTTTTTGACTTTGCTCAAAAAATTAATTAAGAATAACTGGTTAAACAAGAAATATAGGATTTTGGACAAACAGTCAAGAATCTAAAGTTAAAGATCTCTTGCTTCTGAATCCAAATGATCTTAATGAAGACGAGTTTATTGATGAGTTCTGCCACTCTTCGACTAGTCGACGCCATC